AGTGCCAGGTAAACTCCAGTGGAGACCAGATACCTTAGTGGTTGATGGTATCAGAATTTTAAAGATTGTAAGGATCTTTAGGATTTTAAGATCTCAAGGATCCAGGCTACAGATGGAGGCAAGCCAAAGGAAGGGGACGCCTGATGCCTCAACCAAAGGCCCGATGGAAGAGCTCCATCTTACAGGCCCTGTGGAATTGTAATAGATCCCGCAGGGCCCTGATCTCACGCGGGAGGTCATTCCACGAAACAGCTCATTCCATCAGACAGTACAAGACAATCTACAGCCAACAATAAGGTTTGGAGGGGGAAGGAAAAAGTTTTTTCAATCACCTTACTAACCCCCCCCCCCAATGTTTAGACAACACTTACTATATCTTTATAACCAAATAGACCTTTTTTCTCATTTGCCAATACAGCCACAGAATCAATTTATGAGGTACTCAAGCCAAAGGGTACTTGCAAATGGCAGCCAATAACACCAGTCCCTTCTAGTCTATTTGGACTACAGGTCTTGATTTTTGCTGATTTCCCCTCTTCCACTACTGACCTCGACTTGCCCCTTAGGTCATTTCTGGAGGTCTCCTGTCCCCCAAGAGCAGCATTTCAGGGAACAATTTGGGCTGCAACAGAATGGGGGTGGCAAAAACTTCCCATTCCACTAATGGAAATCCCTTCCATTGGCAGAAACTACAATTAGATCTGACCCACAAGCTCCAAACACATGTTCTGCACTCTCCCCTCCCCAAGAAAGAGGATACAAATTTTGTATATACCATAAATATCTGCATGGGTCCCACGCATTTGAAACCTTGAACATGTGGAGGCTGGATGAAGCAAGAGGGCAGAGACCATGGATGCAATCTCTTCCTCCCACCCAGTGTATACCTGCACCCTGGGCTTGCTTTACCCTACTGCAACAGGGATCTTGGGAACCTGATGAGGTGCTCAGTGCTGCTATAATACCTCTCCTACTGCCTCTCTGCCCACATCCCTGGCACCACTTCCTGCAAACGTTTCTGCACTGATGTTAACTCCCCAATACCTTGTGTGTGTGTGTGTGTGTGCTCTTATTAGCAAACCACAGGAATCTTTTGCAATTGCTGAAAACTTCTACAGAGGGAATTTTTCAGCTTAGGGAGATCCTTCCAAAAACAAGAACAGACCAGCAGAACGGAAGAAAAGTTTCAGAACACAGACACACAAAGCACATTATTTCCCCTCCTCTGGAATCCAGCAGCACAGCACACACTCCCACCCTCTTCTATGGAGAGAAGTTTTCATTTGCACTCATTTCACAGGATGTGGAAACCAGGCAACTGAAGAACACTGCATGACCCGCTGGCTTGTTGACAACTGGCCTAGCCACCGCACTCCATCTCCTGACATATGTGGGGAAGAGGAATGTGCAACGTAACACTTTTTCGACTTCCTCCGGGGGCTGCTGTCAGAAGGGCAGGGGTTAAACCAGGAAGACTGTACCACGCTGGGAAACTGTTCTTGCTTTCCACCATTGCGAGCCTGCGGGTTGGTCCCTGCTGCAATGAGATTACCATCCCCTGTGGTTTCTTTCCAGATCTGCACGGCACTTTCAGGCTATTTACTCAGAAAGTGGGATGGGTGCCACAAACCACCTTGTGATCTTGATTGGGAAGGCTGAACTTTGCCCATTGCCTAAGCCCGTTGACTTAGTTCGCCGAAGTGAAAGTTCCACTACAAAAATGCATTACTCAGCCGGACACCCATCCATCCACCCCCCCTCCCCCAGCCATAAATTCTAATTACACGTTCAGCTCCTACCACCAGTGGCTTTCTATGCTGGTAGCCCTGTTTAGACAGCTTCGGAGTCAGTAATTTTTGTTCTTATGGTTTTTATAATAATCGGACTGGGAGACGGATGATGTTTAGTCTGGCCTGTCTGCCAACAGTCCTTCAAGGAAGTTACAAAGCCACCGTGTAGACCAGGGAAATTCCCACCAATTTCAGCAATATCTGATCCAAAGGACTACGAGCGCCATAATATTTAAATAGGACCAATTACAATGAACCAGGCCCTAAAGGTTCACGGTTCTCAACTTGCCTACTGACGGCTGCCAGGAGTTTCCCCATCCTGGAGCTGGCAACCCCATAGGGCCCCCCACCTCCTACCTGTGGCCAGGGGGAACCTGGCAGCCCTAGCACCAACACCACCAGGGTACAATGACCCTCTGGTAAGGAAGGGGCTCAAGCTTCCCCTACTAGAAAGGACACCTGTCATGATCTGGGCTGTGCCAGTAGAGGTCTACTAGGCCCAAGGAGCCTGGCTAGCCGTAGGTGAGGCTGGGCCTACAACTCCCAGAAGCCAATGGGAGGTTTTGGAGCCAAAATGGACCAATAGGAAAAGAGGAGGGCTGGGAATAAAAGTTCTGGAGCAGAAGGAAGAACTGTTCTTTCTTCCAGAGGGCAGAGTCAGAAGAAAGGCTGCTACAGGGGAAAAACCCTCATCCTGAGGGAGGGGTGAGTAGTGTAAGGCCACTTGAGATAGTGAGCTAGGGAAAGTATATTTAGATGCGTTAGGGCATTTGATTTCTTTTCTTTTCACCCTCTTACTGTTATTATTCTGCACCTTGTTGTTTTACTCTGCCTATGTGTACAGCACCGACCTTGGCAGACCAGCGGTCCGACTCAGCAGGAGGCAGTCTCATGTACATTTAGCCAGTCATTTTAGCAGTGCTACCTCCTATGGGGAAAATGGCCTTTGGCATTCTTTCAGCCATAGAAATTAATTTAAAATTGCTCACATTTAATGAGATGGCCACCTTTTAATTATAGGCCCTGGCTAGTTTTTAAAGCAAAGAGATGGGGGAAAAGAAAAAAGAAGAAGAAGAAGAGAGGGCTCTGCAGCTTGATCCACAAAAGCAGAAACACACCAAGGAAGACCACTGCGAAGAAAGTCTGTGTTAAGAACAAAAGAAATTGTGTAGCCTGGCATGAACTATAAGATAGATTTGCAGAATTCCTGTTGCTATTAAAAAATGATTTGGCTTCTGTTAATCATGAGGTGGGGGCAGGTGAATTATGTGCATTTCCTGCAGCTTTTCTGTGTTTCTACCGAACTGCAGCACATGCAGGACTCTGATTACAGGCCTTCATATTTACCTCTGCCATTAAAGAGACAGGTCATATATCATACATGCCTTCCCACTGCTAAGACTGCCACTTAGGCAGAGCCTGGAGCAGGGCTAACAATACAGCAGTGTAGCCCAGACAGACCAGCCCCGGGGGTGGGGGGGTTCCCTCTCTTCCCAGGTCCATCGTTCAGCAGCTCCACAGAGCAGAGCTTTCTTTGCCTAGCCAAGTGTCCTTGCGGAAAGGAAGTGATGACTGATCTACAGCTAGCGGAAGTGAAACTCAGACTCCATGACCTTCTTTGACCAAGGTTAAGAAAGCATTCCCTTGGGCTATCTGGTAAACCGCTGCATTGTTTATGAGCCACACAGATGTGGGTGTGACAGCTGATACTCACCCGAGAAAAAAGGCAGCTCAGTTTTCCAGGGAAAATCTATCTGAAATATTTATGCCCCACACTCTCGGTCTAAAAAGCTCTGGAGACAGCCAACAAGGGGTCAAAGATCAAAATAAAGCTCCCCTTGAGTTCAGTGCACATCGGTACAAACTCACAGAGCTGTAAGAGGCCTGCAGAGAGAGGTTATTTAATCAAACCTGTAGCCGCGTTCTCTTTGAGCCGTACTCTGCTCTGCAGGGGGAATTAAATGGAACGAAACATCCCTTCTGTTCCATCTCATCCCATGATTACAGATGAAGCTGCCTTGAAGCAAGCCTGACCATTGGTTTGTTCAACCAAGTACTGCCTACACTGACTGGCAGCAGCTCCCCAGTGCATTAAGCAAGCATGTTTTCCAGTCCTGCTCCCAAAGATCCTTTAACTAGAGGTACCATGGATTAAACTAGGTCCATCTGCTGCACCCTACCATTCAGCCATGCCCTCTCCCTAATGCAATGCTGAACACAAGAAGCACTGAACAGACGTCACATCCTACGTGATCAATGGTAGACGCTATTAACCCACCGCCTGTGCCCACCGCCCTGACCTGGAGGGCCCAGACAAGCCTGATCTCATCAGACCTCAGAAACCAAGCAGAGTCAGCCTTGGTTAGTACTTGGCTAGGAGACCACCAAGGAAACCCAGAGTCGTGATGCAGAAGCAGGCCATGGCAAACCACCTCTGAACGACTGTTGCCTTGAAAACCCTGCAGGGTCACCATAAATCACCCGCGACTTGATGGCACTTTCCACCACCGCCTGTGCCTACTGAAAAGCCTGATTAGACTCAGTCTCTGGCATTTCCAGATGAAAGCAGAGACCCTTTAAGCACTACCCTTTACCATATCAGGTGATATTAGGTGGATCTGGTTTCTTACATTTTCTTCTTCCCCCTTCCTTACTTAGTTTGTTTTCACTTTTAAATAAAATAAGGGAAGGCCAGAAGACATGGCCAATGGGTCCCGTTTGGTCACAAAGATGCGCAGGCTTGCACTAGACCTGGCATTCCTCTTGCTGTTTGCCTCAAAAAATGGGCCCTCCGTTCAGCAGTCCTTCTTACCCAGCACAGCAGCAATTGCGTTTCTCTGTTTACTGTGCAGGCCAAAAGAGGTAGCTTATTTAAGACTCTGAGTAAGTTTTTCCCTCGGAAGATGACATTTTAGCTTGCTGTAAAACCACCCGTCCCACTGAAAATATGCCAGGATGTGGGATTTTTGTTTTTAAAGCAGCTCCTCACACTGCGGTCCAAAATGTCACTGGTCCAATGTTGACAAAAGCAGTACATCTTCAGCACCTAGTTTTATTCCAGCACCTCATTTTAGGAAATGAGTGACCGAGTTAGATCATCCAGTAACACACATCAAGTTTCTTCTACTCCCAGTTATAGGCATCTATTGTTAACAGAATACACCAGTCACACATCTTGGGAGGTTCTCCTTTTCAAAAAAGGGGTCTTACCTGGCATCTCCTTTTGAAAGGTTAGTGTTAACGGGATGAAGAATCACTTTGTTTGCATCCACATCCAGCACACATTTTGTATGCAGGTCTATTTCTATTAGAAAAGGGAGGAAAAAGAGGGGGGGGGGAATGTCAAACATGGTTCCTAAACCACAGATTTCAGTTTTGCAACAGAGATTACCCCTGCTTGCCCACCCATCCAACTCACTCAAAGCATCACAATTGTGCACACTGCCTGTTCTGGCCTCATGCAACCACAGGACAGCTGCCATTACCTACCAGTCTTTCCGTAGGCCAGACAGAACGAGTGCAGGGTTGTCCCAGCTGCTTCTCCAGGTTTTAAAGGACAAAGAGAGGCTGCCAGGGTAGCACTGCAGAGTTATTTTCAGCTGGCAAGAGAAAACCCCGGGAGGCTGGTGGTGCCGAAGTGGGCAGGATCTGCCTTCTTAGCCAGAGGCAAACATCAGACTTCACCTCCGCTCCGTTGACCTGCACGTTCATTCTTGTTAGAGCTGAGCCCAACATAACAACAGTGACCAAAACTGCCATCCTCTTGCAGGTCTCTCCTGGGATGTTTTCACAGCAACTTTCATGGTACAAGGCCTACATCTGAAGCTTACAGACCCCAATCAGGCATGAACTCAGGTGGCAGAATTATAGCAATTACCAATAGACATTCATGCTTATTTCCAGGGCGGCATGTTTTCCCCAACAAGAGTGCAGCACCAGCACTGTGCCTGGGCGCACGTCAGTCCCCCCAGGCATTCAAGACCAGGAAAAAAATACAGATCAAGATGGCCCGGATTCCTAGTGTCACAGGCAGCACTTAGACTAGACAACACTGGGCCAGACTGACTAGCAGCCCGTCTCCACCAATGACCTTCGCTCCCCCAACCTCAGCCATCCAAATGTCCTCTGCTCTCTCAAATGACCCCACCCATTCTCCTTCTCTGCCCCTTATGTTTGCCGCTACCTCCCAGAACGCCTACGTGATGCTTCCTCTCACTTCCTTCAAACCTCTCGTGGGAAAAACATTTTTTCCCATGGAGCCTGTGGCACAACACTTTAATCTCTCATTCCTCTCCTTGGAAGTCAAGAATGTGTAAAAAGTAAATGAATGCCTCCATCTTCCCTGTCCATCCCCACTTTACCGTCTACTACTTTGTTGCAGTCACTGTGTTCAGTTAAGCTCTTTGGGGCAGGGACCTGACTCACTGCTCTCTAAAAGTGCCATACATGGTGATTGTAACGATGCAGCATTTTCCTTAGACTGAAGCTCAGCGCAAGGTGGCCCCTGCTAGAAAAATCTGACTGACACCATCTTGTCTCACTTTTCTGCATGGATCCAGAGGAGTTAGCCATGTTAGTCTGTGGTGCAAAATACGACAAAATGGACACAAATCTGACATAACAAATGGCAAAAATGGCAATATTCAGAAACCAGTGGGACAAAACAAACCTAAAAGTCACTAAAAACAATGTAAAAAAACCCTTAAAGTTAGAAAAACCTCTTCAACCAAATGAATGTGACCCATAACCCCAAAATGAAATCATAGTGGAATCTACAACATTTGCTTTAAGAACATAAGAGAAGCCAATGTTGGATCAGGCCAAAGGCCCATCCAGTCCAACACTCTGTCACACAGTGGCCAAAAAATCCAGGTGCCATCAGGAGGTCCAGCAGTGGGGCCAGGACACTAGAAGCCCTCCCACTGTTGACCCCCCAAGCACTTGCCCCAGCCTGAGAATTCCTATTTTAATTCTGAGATCTGCATGTTTGGGATTCATTGAAGACCTGAGATTCCTTTCAAGCCTGATTGTAATCATTCAGTTAACAGAGATTTATGTTGATTCTGGTGGAAGTTCCCTCCTGGACACTGCACCCCAAAATTTAATACATTGGGCAAAAGGGGAAAGCAGAATTCAAAAGTCACAGGCTCTGGAATAGCCAGTAACCTTATAATGGTCTATGTTCTGCAAGGCATATCATCCCTTGCATAGCTTCCAACCTCTTTGCAAGGATTCCGTCATCCTGCTCCTTGCGGAACCGAGAGCAAATGCAGGCCTGCTTACAGGTTTGGACCAGTGGGGGTGGGGGGACTGGATTCAAATCCCCACTCAGCCACAGACCTGAGCTGCTAACTCCTACAGTATTGCTAGAAGGAGAAAATCGTATGACCCTGAGCTGCCTGGATGAAAGAGTGGGTTACCAATGGGATAAATGAGAATCATATTTGTGATAGCTCCACAGCTATCACCCAGACAAATCCTGCCCACTTCCGACTTCTGCATACCATGCCCAGATTAACAGGCACATCCTAATTCCATGACAACAACATGGTAACAGTTTCAGCTTTCCAGTGGATTTCTGATTCTCTCTTTCTGGTTGTGCTAAACGCATTGCAGTGTTCACGCAGACAAATTCAGGGTGACAAGGCCTTGGAGACATGGCCGGACATTAGACTGGGGGAGGGGTGGGGAAACAAGAGGGGAAGACTGCTCTAGCCAAGTCATCAGGAAGTGTGTTTTGGAAATACAGCTGAAGATTCCCTCCCTCCCAAGAGCTTTTCTTGTAACAGAAAACAGGTACTTTATTTAAACAGCCCCTAAAAGTGGAAGACAACCCCTCCCTTGTAATACTTGTTCACCTACCGTCACCTTCCCTCCTACCTCCAATCTGTCACTAAATGGGATTTGAAGCCTCTGCAGGGTAAGCTTACAAACACAGGAGATGAAACTCTGACCTACTGCCTTACATAGTTTAGGGTTTGGGGGAAGGTGGGGATCTCATGAGCCCAAGTATCCAGGGATTTAAATATGCGACATTGCTATCTGGGATCGGCTTCTTAAAAATATCCCCCGGCCCCAATCCATGCTCACATACCCAACTTTGCCTGAGTTGTGCATTTAGTTCATTTAAAAGGTAAATCAGGTCTGGAGGAAGCCATTAGCATCCAGGCGAATTAGAAAAAATATTCGGGGGGGGGCTGGGGAGGTGGACGCTGGAAGAGCACAGTAACTATTTGCCTGTTTCAATGAAACTAAAGAAAATGCCATCACAAAGATCATTATCAGCTTCCTGTGTTTCAAAAACAGGACTCTCAAGTTTCCGTCACCTTGGGGAAATATTTTAATACAGGTGAACGGAAGCCCAGACATCACTCAGTATAGGCAATGGGGCATCGCAGTTTGAAGGATACAGAAGGTCAGAAGAAACTCAAGGAGACTTTGTAGAACGGGCCTGTAAAACAGAGCTCTTCCGCCAGTCTTGTGGGAGCCGCCGCCACCAATGAAGAACATCGGTTGGTTGAAAGAGAGAGGGCCCTGGACTCCAGAAACTGCCACCAACAGCCTAGAACAGCAAGTCTTGCAAGGACAATCAAAATGAATACTGAGTGCTGGCTGCGAGCTGAGGATTTTGAATAATGGCTGCTACCGTCATACGAAGACCAATGATTACTAGCCCATTATGGTTTTAATCTGTTTTAATTGTAACTTATGTTTTAAATGTAACCATCTGTTTTTATGTAAGCCGCCCAGAGCTGGCTCCAACCGGGAAGGCGGGGTAGAAATTTGAAAAAATAAATAAAATAAATAAGAAAGGACCAAAAAAAAGGCAGTTATTTCCCCATAACCATATAAAGGTAAAGGTAAAGGTTCCCTTGCTCAAAAGCCAGTCGAGTCCGACTCTAGGATTGCGGTGCTCATCTCCGTGTCAAAGCCGAAGAGCCAGCGCTGTCTGAAGACGTTTCCGTGGCCATGTGGCCGGCATGACTAAACACCAAGGCACACGGAACGCTGTTACCTTCGCACCGAAGTCGTACCTATTTATCTACTTGCAGTTTCTTGCTTTCGAACTGCTAGGTTGGCAGGCGCTGGAACTAGAGACGGGAGCTCACCCCGTCTTGCGGCACCCGGGTCTCGAACTGCTGAACTACTGACCTTCCACAGCCTGCAGTTCAGCGTCTTAACCACTTGAGCCACCGCATATACATAACTGCAATTTCTGTATTCTCGCAGGCCCACTATTCTCAAAACAACCACAACTACCCGATCCTCTCACAAATGATCAGCCACCACGCAGCAATAAAAGCTTCGTACCTATAAGTACCCAGATGATGCATGGTCACATATGGAGGGACAGAAATCAGCAACAGATTACTTGAAGCAGATTAGCCCTTCCAAAACGGAGACAAGATCTGGGTGGATGTGGTGGTGGCGGCAGAAAGCGCTCTCAAGTCACTGCTGACTTATGGTGACCCTGCAGGGTTTCCAAGGCAACAGATGTTCAGAGGTGGTTTTTGCCACTGCCTGATTCTGCGTAGCGATCCTGGACTTCCTTCCGGGTCTCCCATCCAAATACTAACCAGGGCCGATTCTGCTTAGCTTCCGAGAGCTGACAAGATCAGGCTCGCCAGGGCCATCCAGGTCTGGGGTCAGGGTGGCCAGTTTGGTGCAGTGGTTAGGAGCACAGACTTTAAACTGGGAGAACCGGGCTTGATTCCCCACTCCTCTACATGCAGCTGTCGGCATGCCCTTAGGTCACTCACAAGTTCTTTCAGAGCAGTTCTCTTATAAGCAGCTCTTGAGAGAGCTCTCTCAGCCCCACCTACCTCACAAGGTGTCTGTTGTGGGGAGGGGAAGGAAAAGGAGATTGTAAGCCGCTCTGAGAGTCCTTTGGGTAGTGAAGGGTGGGGTATAAATCTAATTTCACTCTGTTTAAATAGAGGGTTTTTTAAAAAAAATTGGCTCCAATAACAGTGCGATCCTATGCAGAGTTTTCAGTGGTTTCAATAGGCTTAGACTGGAATAATTTAGATTCTCTTTTTAAAAAGAAACAGATTTAGAACAAAATCTGAACTTAAACATTCAACTGCTTAAAACTCAATTTATGATGCTCTTGAGGAACTGGCTATATCTCTTTGTAAAGTAAAGTAAACAATGGGGAAGACATCTTTGTCAATCATCGCACAGAGCGATAGTTTATGTAAATATACATATATATTATAGTTTGGCACTGGGGGGCAGAGATGGGCCAGTCTCCACAGGAGCTGTCCACCAGTCTAGCTGGGCAACATTCTATCCCTGTTCCAT